GAAAACGGGCAAGCTCAATGCTAACTAAGGCTTCATCACACTCGTTTGCCGTACTTTCTCTGTCGCTCAGGTCTGCATCCATGCCCAAACCATGATAACGTCTGTGCTACCAGCCCATCTATTGGCCAGCATGATAACGTCCATGTTACCAGCCCATCCATTGGCCAGTGCATCACCACGACAACGTCTATGCTACCAGCCCATCCATTGTGGCCAGTGCATGCGTGCCCAAAGCATGATAACACCCAGCCAGCGTTATGAAGACAGGTTCAGCCAAAACAGCTGTTCAGTCAGACGGACTTGCTGCTTGCAAGGTGAAACAACACATTGTGCAGAATCTGCCCTTAATCCTCCAACACGTCCTGCCATTACAGTTCACTCTTACTTTCAACCAATCGCGCCCCGCAGAAACATCGAGTTTGTTTTGCGTTTTTTTGCTCCGCATATCATCAGAATGGAAACGCCATGTTGAAGCATGCGAATGTAAAAAAGCATCGGCCCTGCCATGCTTTTCAAACATTGTGCGCACACGAAGTGCGGCAAACGAGGGTGATGAACCCAAGGTTAAGATTTGTTTACGACAGGAGTACTGTACGGGCCTGAGTTCATTGAGAATTCTGGAGGGTTGCTTAATATGTAATTGTTCAGTGATTGCATCCTTACACCCCAAGACATGTAGTGAACGTTTTAGAGAAAGGGTCGGATTGGGTTTCGGGTTTATCGGTGGTCCCACAAGGGGACCTTGCCAGGGGCTCGAATCTTCAGAATCTTAAATGAAACCCTCAAACCTAGGTTTACGCCAGCAGTCGAGTCCCTTGTAAAAACAGTCAAGGGGGCAACGAGCTTTTCTGAGCTCGGTGGCTTTAGGCATTTAGGGTCTAGGGAAAAGGGTTTAGGATGTGTAGTTACGAGGGTGCGGCAAGTAGGCTGATATGCTGTGCTGCATATCAGCCGGTGCCTTGTTGCCTGCTCGGTTTCCTGTTTCCGCTGCTGGGCATCCTTCCAGCGCCATTTTATGGGGCTGTCACGGTTTAGGGTTTAGTGTTTAGGGTCTTTATGAGTGCTTGTTCTAACGATTGCATTTCCAGTATTTGGGGCCTGCTTTGTTTCCGGTTTCCCCTGCTGGGCATCACTGCGGCTCCATGCAATGCGGGTTTCTGAAAACCTTATTCAGGGGTGCTGGTTCCAACGATGGCATTCCCAGCATTTCGGGTAGGAGGGGTTTTGAGCATGTACCGAGACATAGTTGAGAGACTTTCAGCAGCCTTTAAGATGCTAAGATTCTTGTCATTTGGTCTAGTTGCTTGCCGGAAACCCTCGGAGGTGCCACGTGGAGAAGTTTGCGGTCGACAGGCCAGCGATGGCGCCGTGAAAATCAGAAGTTTGGGGAGAATTCCTGCAGAGCTAAACCATGGGTGCCACGTGGGCCATGCCATATTAATATAGATATCCAGCGAGTGCTGCTTGGCTTACGAGCAATTCAGCTGCAGCATAGTAACCCTCAACGCCAAACTGCTGCGTTCTGCAAAGTACATGATTTCCCAGCAGGTATAAGTAGTCTACAAATCAGTTCTCAGGATCCTGCTTGACCTGAACCCAAAGACAAAGAGCTCACACAAAACTCTACAGCAGGGTTTTGGGTTTAGGGCAGTTTAGGGGTTTAGGGTTAAGGGATTCAGGGCTTAGTGCATTGCAGTCCCTGCTCAAAAAAAAGGGTTTAGGGTTTAGGAAATACTCTACAGCAGGTCCAAAGATGTCGGCGCACCCGTGACTCAGCTTTCGGATCACTACGGTGCCGAGGATGCAAGTAGAGGGTTTTCGGTTTAGGTTTGAGGGTTTATCCTGAACCCTAAACCCTAAACCCTAGGTTTTGCCAGAAGAGCATTGAGGAAGGGAACCCCCGACAACAGGTCAACAAGTTATTGCGAGTTAGTTTAGGGTTTTAGTATTTAGTTTTTAGGGGGTTGGGGTTTTAGGACTTTGGGTTTAAGGTTTTACGACTTAAGGTTTATTTAGGGGTTATCCTGAGCCCGGCAAACGCTCAAGCCGTGCAGTGTTTCCTCCGCGGTTCCGTCAACCCTTACATAGAGATTGGCTTGCTGGCTGTTCTAAACAAGGCATGGCACGGATCATGTCAGCATACTCATAACATACTCCGACATCCTCCAGTCAGTATACCAGCTAGCCAGTAAGTAAGTTTTGGTCATGCGTTTGTGCTGAGGAGCCTGATCATGAGACCATGAGTAGATTCTCACGGGTCGTTGAAGAAGGCACATAGCCAAAGCGCCTGGAGTCCTTCATCATACCATGGACTTGACCCCATAAAACATGCTCAGGATTTAGGGAGCCTCAATCAAGCCTGTGTACAAGGGGTTTAAAGATTTTATCCCTAGAATCGCTCGTGCATCCTTGCATTGCTTCTGGTTTTCACCGGCAACTGGGCTGCACAGCGCCGGGATGCAAACAGCTGAAATCCTGCAAAAGCTCTCGAAAATGCCCTTACAGCACAATGGTGCGAAGCCGCATGTAGCTCAAGTCAAAGAGCATTCTATTGCAAGCACCAGGTAACCAACACAAGGTACTAGAATCCGTGGCAGGGTCCTAAACCCTAAATCCCTGATTCCTAAGCCCTTACATCCCTAAACCCGAAGCCCCTAAACCCTCAGCCCCTACACCTCTAAACAAACCCTTAACCCTGGGCCCTGAACTTGGCCCTAAACCCTGAAACCAACCAGGTGTGGAGGCAACCCTTGCCGTGATCGAAAGCCCGGCTTACTTAGCAGCAGAGCGGCCGACGCAGCGCTCGGTCAGGTTTATAGTCCTAGTAGTAGGGTAGGTAACCTTTAACCTTTTTGGGGTAGTACAATCCCTATATAACCCCTATATAACCCCAAAGGTTAACCTTTAGATTCCCCATGATACCCGACAAGTAAGTAGTAGAAGCGAGAAAGTTGGAACATCACAATCCTCATGCCCTTAAGGTAACGTCAAGGGAATCCTGGCACAAATCCAACTAAACCCATGTTCCAACTTTCTGACTTTCATTGTAGAGGTTTAGGGCTAGGAGGGTTTCCCCTGGTTCTTCTAGGTAGGCCTTTGGGACATTTTTTATATGTTCCTTTCCTGGGCCTAAGAGGATCTTATCTACGAATTGTTCAAGGGCGTTAAAGGGACCTAGTCTAAAAACAGACTCCGACTTGGCAGTGTGCAGTAGGGTCCTTTCGGGTTTAGGGTAGATTCCGAGCTTAGGTTTTAATTATCTTCTATAAACCTGAAAGCCTTGAGGTTTGGAAGCGGGTTTGGCGTTCAGGGGTTTAGGGTTTAGAGTGCTGTCTTCAGGGGAGTAGTTATCAGTGGGGTTATAAGTAGGGTAGCTATCAGTATAACATTCCACAGCCCATATAAGGGGACTGATAGTTAGCCCTACTCTTAACTACCCAAGGTTCAGTTCGCTGCGGTCATGGTGTGGGGTTGTGGTTTAGGGGTTTAGGGTGTAGGGATTATAGGGATGCACTTCAGAGAGACCTCGTTGAAACAGGGATTATAGGGATTAGGGTCTATAAGGTTTAGGGAGTTGATTTGGCGAAACATTTGGGGCACCGATGCTATGGTTTTCATGATTATGCATGCTGTTGCGGCTGCCATTGCTTCATAGCGGTTGGGTCCTTCGCGTGCACCGTGCACCTGAGGCGCTCGCGAGGCTTTGACCCACCGGTACTGAGCCGAGGTTGGATCATAAGCAACGAGCGCATCTTAAGCTCCTATAGTATAGGGTTTAGGGTTTACCCTAAACCCTATGACCCTGTAAGTAATGCACCCCTTTGGCATCCTTGGGTCACAGGAGGACAAGTCTCCAGCTCAAGCTATCATCTCCTGCCGCTTCTTGTAGCAGCGACTTTAGGGTTTAGGGTGAAAAGGGACGCAGATCTTTAGCATATCGTTTCATCCACCCGATTGTCCGACACGGCTGCTGCTGCCTTGGGAGCAGTCCAACGGAGCACCAGATTGTGTAAGTGTAAGCAAGTTTGTAACTATGTCTTGCAGGTTTTGTTATTCACCCGGTCAACTCGTATGAAGACGTTGCAAGCCTTGTTCCGTGCCCAGTCTCCCAGGAATCCCTCTCCCAGAACGGAGATCCACCCCGCAGGAGCGAAAGCAGCGGATGAAGGGTATGCACCTTGCCAGGATGGGAAGGCAACAAAAGGGTAGTTCTCCAAATTAGGGTCCCCTTATTTTAGGTACCCAATATTATAGTACGGCACCCTTATACAAAGCACCCTAAAAGGGGCCCTAATTTAGAGAACTACTCCAAAACACCTATATAGGCCTGGAGACAATGTTGCAATACTTTGCACCCTAAGGACCAGTTTAGGGTCTCGCGTTTAGGGCATTGGGTCTGGGGCACAAGGCTTTAAGGCTTGAGAGTTTGTGGGCTTTTGAGCTGAAGCGCTTAGGAGTAACTCTAGGGTCTAAGTCGGTTTGGGGTTCAGTGGAAACTCTCGGAGGGACAGGGTACCGGGATAGTTGCAGAAGTAGCAATGGTCGAAATGAAAATGTAGCAAGTTCCACACACCACTACCACAAAGTACTCCTGGGATTGGCAAGCAGAACCTACCCTAAACCCTAGACCCTATACTATTGACCCTGGCCGTAGCCTTAAAGGCCCTTACCCCCAATGCTGAATTCCAAGCCCACCCCAGGGAAATAGACCCCATGCCCGAATAGGCGCTCCTTGCTAACATGTTAAGGGCCCTGAAGAAGGTAACATAAAGTGATACTGAGCAGTTAGGAATCCTATTCAGCAGCGTCTTTCCGATAATGCTAGAAGATCTGCCGTAAAACCTCGCTATAATAACCCACTCCAAAGTTTCGGAAATCGATCGGTTCCCTAAACCCAAAACCCTAATCCCTAAACCCAAGATTCTAAACCCTAAACCCGAAATCCTAATCTCTAAACCCTAAACCCCCAAGTCCTTGCTAAGTAGGAGGGACAAAGAACCCAAGTCTTCCGTCTCTAGGCTGGCACGGCCGCGGTCGCTGAAGCCGACCAGAGCGAGGCTCCGCTGGAAGAGCTCCGGGTGGAAGGCTTTAGGGTTTAGGATTTAGGGCTCAGAGTTAGGATTTAGGGTTCAGGGTTTAGGTTTCAGGGTTTAGGGTTGAATGTTGAGGATTTACGGTTTAGGGTTTAGGATAGAGGGCTCCGGGTTGAGGGATGTAAGGTTAGGTGTAGAGGCTCGTGGATTGTGTTTAAAGGAGGGTTCAGAGACGTAAGGCTTAGGTTTCGACGTCTTTGGCATTTAAGAGGTCACTGCCCTAAGCGCCACAGGCTGTGGAATGCCTTTGGAACATAAGTTAGCTGCGGAGTTCGACACGAATAAAAAGGATTTGGCTGGAGATGTCCAGGCTACAAAAGACACCCTTGTCTTCCAAAACGGGGCCTGAAGACTCATGTCTAAACTTCATCACCATCAATGTAGAGGGACACCTGGGCCAACATAACCGAAGCAAGATTTGTCAGAAGATAGGGAACCCTTACATACAGAACCCTAATCAGCCCACATGCCTCGCCTGAATTGCCCGAGTGTGATCGCCGAAATACCAAAACCCTGTTGGACACAAGAGACCTCGTCTGGCGGAGTCCGAGTTGCGAGAGCGTAAACTCCCAAAGCCCTTAACCCGAAACCCCACCCCCTCCCCCTCAAAAAAGGGCGCCTCCTGATTTGCCCAAGCCCTGAGCAGCTCCCTCCAGGTCGTTGCTGAGACCTCGGGTGTGGCAAAACCCGAGGTCACGTGCCAGGAAGTACTGATATGGAATGTGTATGTATGTATGTATGTATGTATGTATGTATGTATGTATGTATGTATGTATGTATGTATGTATGTGTATGTGTATGTGTATGTGTATGTATATGTATACGTAAATGTATATGTACATGTATATGTACATGTACATGTACATGTACATGTACATGTACATGTATATGTATATGTATATGTATGTATATATATATATATATGTATACTCTATGTGTACAGTATACACACGTGTACAAACGTACATACTTACTTACCTACCTACCTACTTACCTACCTACCTACCTACCTACCTACCTACCTACCTACCTACGTACATACATATATATATATATATATATATATACGTACATACATACATACATACATACATACATACATACATACATACACGTACAGTATGTGTGTACAGCATGTGTACGTTTATGTGTATATATACATATACACACATATATATATATATACATATATATTCATGTAAGTATGTATATATATATATATATATGTATATATATATATATACATGTACATATATATATATATATGTGAGTGTGTGTGTGTGCGTCTGTGTATATATATATATATAGTTCTATATGAACCTCTGTGCGTATATCTTTATATGGAAGGTTGATTGGTGTTGTTACCGTTTTCGCCTGGGGAAAGGAAGGTCAGTGGTTCGATCTTGTCTAGTTCCCTGCAGCGTGTTTCAGTGTTCAATGCAAGCTATGCAAGAAAAGGGGTTGAACCACATGCTTGTTTGGCTTTGATAGTCATACTTGTTTGGATTCACGGTGCTTCCACATACTGGTGTTTAGGACAACTTCATCGTCGTCATCATCACCATCATCACGTTAGACCGTTTCCCAGTCCTGCCATTGTTGTTTTTTGCGTCATCATCACCATCATCACGTGCACTTGTGGATTCGGGTGTTGTTGAGTGTCACCCTACCACCCCTTTTTGCAAGATCGAGTTTATAATTATGTCACATGAGACTGTGACTTACAAGTGGGACTCTCACTACTCACCACTATCACTCGGATGACCTGCCCCTCCTGGTCACCCTGTTGGCCTGGAAGGCCTTAAACCATTGTTTGGGTTTTACCAAACCTCCCACATGTCAGGATGTCGACCGCGATGTTGCAGGGGTGTCCGCCATGAACTTGCCACAGCACCTCGAATTCGATGCGAAGTTTTCAGAAGATTGGAGGCCGTTAAAATGAGTATTCCATTGTACGGGGAGTCGATGTGGCTTTGCCAGGTGCTAGGTGTCGATATTAAAGCCCCTTCAAATTCCTGAAACCCTTTTAAATGACTCTTCCATCATTATAAACACCACTAGAAAAGCCCTTAAGAAACTAGCGACAAACACCCTTCAACAAAGGGCTGATGACATGCGGGCTCTAAGCTGCGTGCTTTCGGTCAAGGAAAGTCTGGCCACCAGCTACGGCTTAGTGTTTCCCCAAGGGTCCAAGTACCTAATAATCATATACTCTCCCAAATAGTAACCTACATAACTACTATCCGAAACCTAAGTACCTGATTACTGGGTCCTTTGGACCCTTGGGGTTTAGGCTTCGGGGAACCCCACTGTAGCGCCAGACGGGCCAAACCTAAGTCTCCGAAAGCTGCAGTTTAGGCTTTTGGACTCGTGGCATAAGGTTTAGGGTCGGCATGTTCGATGACTGACTTATGCTGCCGCTCGCGTCTCTCGCAAATTCGCAAGCCCTGTACCCTGGCCGCCCTAACCTAACCCTGTGGCCTTGAATCAAAGATTAGGTCGGGGAGCGATGAGCTGCCAAGAGAGCCACAGCAAGAGCCGGCATCTTCAGCAGTTGCAGAGGACGGGGCTCTTTATTTCCATGATGCCGGATGCCTGAATTCTCCAATGTGAAGGTCTTGATTTTAGAATCTTATCCCCCCAACGTCCTAACCAGTATGATACTCGTATGCGTCAAAATAATGCTACTACCTACAAGAACACAAGTCCAATCATTCGTCAAGCTGCATGAGGGCTTAAGCACTCTGTGGAGACGATGCTTGAGCGTTGATATGTCAGGTACTTGAGGCCGTCGCCTTCGAAGCAGACACCGACATCACGGATGACCCAAACCCAAACACCGTGGAGGCATGTGCCGCCGAGTGAAGGAGAGATACTCCCAAGAGAAGCTGGAGCTGCGGAGGTCAGATTTCAATCAAAAGGCGATGGTCTTCTGCAAGCGGAGTATAATCCACAAGGCCACGAAGGCCAAGAGGTCTTACATGCCTGGCAATTGCCGCTGGGAATCTGCTTGATGCCGAAAACATGTTCGATCTGCAGAGACGTCGAAACGAGCTGGCTTCCCCCGATGGAGCGTCGGACGTGAACTCCCTGCAGCACGCCTCAGCCGCCAGCGGTCGCAACGAGGAAAAAGTCGCAGCCCGGAACACAGCTTGATTTGCAAGGGCGATGAAGCCTAGGGCCAAGAGATCCTTAGAGTTGTTTTTTTTTTTTTTTTTGGGG